GGGAGCGGGTTCCTCTCTCCGCCCCCTGCTGCCTGGCGCGCAGCTCGCGGGCTGAAAGTGAAGGGGGAGACTCCGATCCCGCACAGGAGCCCTGGAACTTCTCAGAAAAATAGAGCCTCCTCCCACGCAGCCTGGGTGTACTCAGGCTCAGCGCTTAGGATCTTGTGCCATGTGAGCTGGAGACGTTCCACGTCAGGGTCCCCAGATGTGATGCTCCTATGGGGACCACCTAAACCCTTTACGGGGACTTTTACTAAAGCACGTCTCCTTGAATATTTCGATAACAGAGACGCTTGGGGATCGAGACAGATTGGTTTAAAAATAAAAGAGGGCAAAAGGTCGGAACCCTTAAAGGAAGCTGCCTCCTGGGTCTATCCTGGTGGGTGGGGGATCTCGTGTCCATTCTTGCCCCGCACGCCAGTCTTCTGTTTGATTCACTAAGAGTGGCAGTGCGGTATAGCACAGGGCCAGCAGGATGGTGCACCGAGGTCGTCTTCCAAGTCCAGAGTTCTTCCCCAGTTCTACTGTGCTTCCTTAGATGGCCGCTTGGGGGCGGTATATGTATTCTGATTTAGGGGATCCTTGCGGAGAGTTTTTAGCGGCATTTTAAGGAAGCGAATTCGTATCCAGCTCCCTCAAGGCAAAACTGAAATTGTGTCTTGAAAAACAATTTTATGCCCACTCGTGTTTCTTAACGTGACTCCCGAATGGAGAATTTGCTGAACCATCTGGCTCCCGGATCTTACACTATTTACAGAACAGACCTGTAGAGCAATAAACTCTCCGCCTATTGTTTTATTTCCCATCTTTCTCCCTAATTTTTTTTTTTAATTTTTCGGCTCCCAAAACCGAGGTGTGGTTTACATTTCTGTGGGTATACACTTTTCCATGAGTAGGCTGCTGCCTGATACTTTGTCTCTGAAGTCTGGTCTCTATGCCACCGGTCCCAAGCCAAGATGACTCCAGCTTCCTGGAATTCCATTCATCTCTTTGGGAAGGGACGTCAGCGGAGATGCTTCTCCAGCTGTGACCCTGCGTGAACAGGCTTGGCTCTGAGTCCAGGGACACAGGTAAAAGCATCACCAAATAAGGATCTTGGCAGAATCAGGGTGGGGGCAGGCTGAGAGTCTGTTGGGGCTCCCTCCCCTTATCAGTTACACCTGGCTGGACTCCCAAATCTTGGAAACACCCACGGCTTTATGCTCATCACACAGCAATTTCACTTTCCTTGTGTGGGAGTGTTCTGTGACAAGGTGCGTGTGTGTGGTATGTGTGTGTACACACAAGGAGGGGCTTACAGAGTGTTTCCTAGTTACTCGGGGTACACAGCTAGTGCCTCTTGTAGATAAGTATGTTCCCAAGACGTGTTTGTTTATTAGACTTCAGATATTCAGAGCCTGGAGTAAAAGTTTCTACTGGTTGATTAGTCAAGTTAGATTCCTGTCCTTGAAGTCACAGTCACTGACTCAGCTACACAAGCTGAAGATTCTGGATCAGCAGCTGGGCTTGTTCTTCGCTTCCAGTTCCTTCCTCGGATCCTCTTTGCTCTGTGTAAGGTGATTGCTTTAAGTTTCCTGCACAGCATTAATTCTTCCTGCAGGGACTTTAGGAACTAACTGCTCTGGGAGGGCTGGTCTTGAATTTTGTACCACGGAGATGAATGTAAGAGGCCCACAGGCAAGCACTTCTCTCCTTGTGTAAACCCGCCCACTTCCCTAGGTCCAGCTACACCTTACTGATGGAACAGGAGCAGTCAGGGTCCGCCCTTTCGGGTCATGAACTGCCTAGACTAAGGAGTGTGGACAGCCTGTAGCTTGGCTTCTTTCAACAACACAATACAAGCTTTGACCTCCTCCACACCTTTCAGATAAGGCATCATGGAAGAGCTTTGTTGTAATAAAAGCTGGCAGTGGCCTAGGAGATGTTGAATACAAACACAGAGTCTTTCCCTAAACACAACACAGCAATCCAGCTGTCCTGGTGAAAACAAGGTTTGCAGGAGATGAGGTTCCAGGCAGCTGTGAGGTCTCCCCCAGATTCCCGATCACCACGTGCTGGGACCAGATTACAGAAATTCAGCACAGTCCTGGGACATTGTAGAGAAGCATGGGAAAAGTTAGGAGTTACTATCTTTAGTAGGGAGGATACAGTCTATCTGTGTGCATGGCTATGTGTGTGCGTGTGTGTGTGTGTGTGTGTGTGTGTGTGTGCGAGTGTGCGTGTGTGTGTCCTCAGTGAGTGGAAGCATGGATCCTCCTCCTGCTTTTATGTCTTATTTTATTATTCTCTCTTGCCTTCCACCCTTCCCGTTAGGCCTCATGGTCCCCTGTCACAATTCCTACTTTCATGCTCTTTCCCATTTGAATATAGAGTCTACATACTAGAGGGACTGTGACATGTGTCTTTCTAAGTCTGTCTTATCTCACTCAACATAATGATCTCTGGTTCCATTCATGTTCCCACAAACGTCACTATTTCATTATTCTTTATGGTGGAATAAAATTCTATTGTGTATATGTGCTTCATTTTCTTTTTCCATTTATCAGCTGATGGGCTTCTGGGTTGCTTCCGCATCTTGGCTATAGAAAAGAATAGTTTTGAGCTACTAAAACTACCACCTCTATGGGCCAGACTGCCTCCTGCTGTCTTTATGATATGTGTTTATTATTTAATTTGGTTTTCTGTTGCTCAGGACTATGGTGCCATTTCTGATAATGACTTTTACTCTTCTGTCTCCTTCTGCTCATGCTTGGCTAGACTCTTTTTTCACCTCTGGAGGGTTCAGAAATCAAGGCAGGCCATGGATTAAACCTTTGATAATCTCTTCACCTATTCTGTTAAATACAACACTTTTTTTTCAAATATAAAAAACCTTCCCACATAAGTTGCTTTATTCTCTCTTCTCCTATTGGCTGTAGAGATGGACGTGGCTTTTAATTCTCAAACAGGCTCATGCGATAGGAAGCAATTGGGACTCTCATATTTCTGGTCACTATGAAGTAAGACTTTATTTAACACAGTGCCAATCAATTGCTTTGTAGAGTGAGATGTTAGATATTCTGCCTGCAATTGAGAATCCCAGGGAACATCCTGGTTTTGTGTATGAGTCACATACAAGGTAGGGGGATAATGTCAAATATCTTCCCTTAGTCTTTGAGACAATGTCTTTCTTTGACCATGGGGCTCACTAACCAGCTAGCCTGATGAGTCAGGGAGCCCCTTTTGTCTTCTTGTCTCTGCTTGTCAGTGCTAGGATTCCATCTGACTTTTGTAACACATGGTTCCTGGGGATGCAAACTCAGGCCCTCATCCTTGCCCAGCAAGCCCTTTGCTCAATGAGCCATTTCCTTAGCCTGAGTTGAAGGGATGTTTTATACACGGCTAGTTGGAATGTAAACTAGTCCAGCCACTAAGGAAATCACTGGGGGGGGGGGCGGTTCTTTGAAAAACTAAAAATAGATCTACCATGTGAGCAGCTATACCACACCCAAGCATTTACCCACAGGACTCCAAATCAACCCTTGACAAAGTTGTTTACACAGCAGCAGTCCTTGTCCCACTAGTCACTGGAGTCCCCAAAGACAGGATGGAGCAAAGAGAATGTGGCACACATACACAGTGTCATTTCCTTCAGCCATAAAGAAGAACAAAGTTATGTCATTTATAGAAACATGGATGCAACCAGAGGAAGCCTGTCAAGTAGATTAAGGCAGTTCTGGAAAGACAGATGCCACGTTCTTTTTATATGTGGTTCCTAGATTTTATATAGATCTATAAAATCATATTTTATGTCTATGGGACACATTATGTACATATGACATGGAAGTAGAAGTGAAACTGCCTAGGAGAGAAGAGGGGAGGAGGGGATTGTGGGAAAGTACAAACAAAGTCCAGTATGAACTTTCCTGAAAACTGTCCTTATGTACCACACAGCACCATACACACTGACTATATACAATGATTATTTCAAAAAGAAATGGAAGCAAGTTGGTTTTCTAAAGAGAAAAATGGGTCTGAGTCCTGTACTTGTTTTTCTTACTGAGACTGAAAAGAGTCCAATCATGTGACCCTCACAGCAGCGGTGACTTTGGAGTGAAGAATGACTTCCTAAGGTGAAGAGTACACACTGGGAAAGCTCCTGAGATAGGATGTGAGTGTTTTCCAGGAGTCTGAATTAAGTAGTTAGCCTGGGCTAGGTGTGTTCCCAGTCAATGACTTAGTTATTCATTGGGTAGCCCTCAGAGGTCCCTGATAAGGAAATCCATGAGTCTGAAAAACCATGAGACAGTGCAGTTCCCAGAAGTGCCACGATGCAGCATTGCTTCAGAAGCTGATTAAAGCCCTAAAAGAATCCAGTTGCCCTAAGGTTTGATGTGCTCCTTCACGCCAGCCACTTGAAAATTATAATTTTTCAAAGCATTTGAGGTTTTCACACGTGTACTCCAGATTAAGAGTACAGCAAGTCCAAGTTTTCTGTTACCTTTCCTGGAAGAAAATGAAGTGTCAGAAGAATAAGACAAGCAAGCATAAAGAGCAACCTGATCATTGCTTGGATTTCATGAACATTTCTGAAGACTGACTATGACATGGAGATTGGCATCTGACTGCAGCTTGAGGGGAGGCCTCACATGCCACTGAAACGTGTGGATGGTGCCCAGGTGGCTGGGCTGCTGGGCATGTGTACAGGGACAGCAATCTTTCAGAAAGTCAGTCTCTCTCTCTCTCTCTCTCTCTCTCTCTCCCTCTTCTCTCCCTCTCTCTCTCCCTCTCCTCTCCCTCTCTCTCTCCCTCCCTCCCTCCTTCTCTCTCTCTTCTCTCTCTCTTTCTTTCCCTTCCTTCCTT